AGACTCTTGGGAAGGTAGAGCAGGAATGGTGACGTTAGCAGCCTGGCGGACCCTTGCTTCGACGTTGAGGTAGTTCTGGATGAAGAGAAACTCTGAGGATTGAGAGATAACCTCACCGGTGCACTTTTGGGCTTCCTGCAGCTGGTGTAGACAACCCTCCAAGTCGCATAGATTGGCCTGCCAACTTTTGTCCCGAGAATGAAGCTCGTCGTTCATCACAGTGCTCATACGACTCTTAAAACATCACATATAAACAGCGTTAATGTGCTTTACCACAACATAACTGTATGTCATCAGCACTGGTGTAGATCTGTTGCTCTTGACATAAGTGATGGTGACATTTCTTTGGCATGACTACTAAGACCTACCCAGGCTCATTGGAAATATGTGCCTCAATCTGCATTTCTGCAAAACTCAAAAAACCTATACGTACAAATCGCTGCAGTTTCCAGTTGAAATTGTCAAACTCTGACAACTTTTATTCCTTTCCACGCAAAATATGTTTTACAGGGCCAGAGTTTCGATTAAGAAAGCATAATTTAGCACAATTCATCGCGAAATATGGTGTTATGACTTCAAAACAAGTTTACATGCTGTGACATTTGAAAAATTATACTTTTGAATGTTAGTGATACTTTTGAACTTCATATGTGTGGGTTTTCTAATGTAGTAGGTTTGCTTGGTAGCTCATGCGATACAGTGTTGCATTTGCGAGGTGAAGCACTCCAGTATGAATCCCATTTTCCAACACGGTAGAGCCTTAACTGTTGGCGACACTCACCAGACATTTGAATTCTGAACCGTGCAATACGTACCTGAAGCAATGCAGGTACCAACGTACTAAAAACGGTCACTTATTGAAAGCGAGTTTTAGCTCCACTCACTGGACATTTCACTTTGAAGCTGCCGTGAACCGTGCAGTGAGGTAATGAAATGAATGAAATGTCAACTTTAAAACCCGTTTCCACCGCAGGAACTTTCCCCAGGAACTATAGGCCGGTACTCGCGGTACTCGGTGTGTTTCCACCGCAGGAACCAGGATCTAAATAAAGTACCGGGTAAAAATTTGGCCCTCAAAAAGTCCCTGCTTGCGAGGTAGTACTTTTTCAAAGGTCAGGAACTTTCGGGGGCGGGACTTGGGTGCTGAACATGCTGATTGGTTGAGTTCACGCGGAATTGTATTTCAACCACCATTTATTTGCATATTTAAAAAAAATATATTACTGTTATTGTGTCATGAAATGTAGTTTTAAGAGGGCGAGAAGCGAGAATGTAGTTGTTTAAAACTCAAATATGCTGTTTATTTATAAAGGCAGCGTCTATTTTTACTCCTCACTCCTCCGATTTTGGAGACGTGAGCTCCAGGCGATCTCCAGGTGTTCAGTGCTCATGTATCCCACTGAGAGCAGCCTCAACTCGGCTAGTCCTTCTGACATTTGCCGCTGGGTCTGATGTCTCTGTAGTGGTTAAACATGAGATATCATTTGTTTTGGGTAAATCTAACAGGTAATCTTTGGTCTTTATTCTGTTATTCTATTAAAGGTGGGGTATGTATTTTTTCAAAAACACTTTAGAAATCTGAGTCGGGCCGAGTAGCAAAACAAACTTGTAGCCAATCAGCAGTAAGGGGCTTGTCTACTCATGATGCAGAGGAGAGAGCACTCAGTGCACAAGATGGACATTAGCCGAACCAAGCTGAGCGACAGAAAGATAGAGATGACAGATAAAAAAACAAAAGAGGAAAACGTCTGCAGAACAAAAGAAGGCTTACGATAAGGCAAGAAGTAGGACCCGTGTAAATATCGGATCAGCTTTCCAGCGCTGGAGAGAACTCAAGGAGTGGAAGGCCTGCGATCGGACGCCGAGGTTGCTTTGTTTCTTCTCGATAGGTGAGTAACATTGGTTTTGCTTTGTTTCACATAACTAATATATGCTGTTAAAACACATATATGCACATTAAAACACACAGTAGGCTACTACCAAAACACATTTGAACTGTATTACCATAGTAACACACATTGCTTTCACTTATTGATGACATCATACCCTCGGATTGCTGGCACAGCAGATTCTGCCATAATCGTTGCCTGAGTTGTTTACGTATTTGTGGGTGGAGCTATCAAAATAGGGGCGAGACCCTTTTGGGGTAGGGGCGTGTTTTGATTTGAAATATCAACATTGGCTACCAGAAATCACTTACCCCACCTTTAACCTATAAATATGTTAAAATGAAAATAAAAAGAGGCAATGCTGTTTGATATAATATTTTGTTTCATTGTAATGTATGTATGTTCCCTGAACTACATTTCTGCGTCTATTAATATGTTTAAATGAAAACGAAAAGAGGCAGTGGTGTTTGATATCATATTCCGTCTTATTGTAAATACAGTGAGGAAAATTGCAGTAGCCAAAGCGAGCTGACTGACGTTATCAAGTACGCTGCTGTTCCATTTGCAGAATTACCGGACTTGCGTCGTTCCGTCCGCGGGAGTTCACACTCCCGAGTCGATCTTCGAAGTACGAATTACAGAGGATGCAAATCCGAATTTTTTTTGTACTTGGTATTGAGAAATGCGCGCAGACCGACGCCACCAGACTATTAGCCTAATCTTAACGGTACTTTAGACCGCGATGGAAACGGTAATTTCGGTGGAAAAGCGGCTAAACACGTACTGCACATTTTGTCTGAACACATCAATCTGAACTAGTAGCATAATTTTACCTCATTCTTACCTTGTATGTACTTATAAGCGAAGTCATGTTGTCCAGCAGTATGTTTGCTCTGGCCACCAGTTTATCTTCGGCCTTGTCCGTAGGACCTTCACTGGCACTTTTCACCAGAGCTTCTGTAATCTGTAGCTTGTCAGACACAGACTTCCCCAGTTCCTCAAGAACTCTCTTCATTTCCTCCTTCGCCACCTCGAACGTCTGCACCTCGTGGTGCTGGTGAGAGCCCTCCATCAAGCAGTCGGAGCAGAGGAACAGTCGCTCCTGCACACACAGGTACTCCGTGACCTTCAAGTGCACCGGGCACCTCTTCCCATCCCGTTCTGCGGGCAGCTCCACTAAGACGTGTAGTGAGCGGTGCCGTTCCTCGTGTTTTTTGAGATGGCTGGGGCACAGTGACATTTCACAGCGTGTGCAGAATTTCACCGCAGCTAGAGGGTTGTCCAGGCACTGGTCACATGGGACTGTAGGGCCTCCTCTCAGTCCGCCACCTGTCGTGGCCACCAGGAACCCATCCACGATACTGCTAAGCTTGAAGTTCTTGGGAAGCGTCTCCAGGCTGCCGTACTCTTCCCTGCATTCCGGGCACCGTTTTGGGGACTTGGGATCTTCTGCGCTGGCAGCATTTTGTATACAACCCAAGCAATAATTGTGTCCACACGGAAGGGCCACGGGATCACGGTACAGCTGCAAACAGATCGCACAGCTCAACTCCAAAGCTAGACGCTCCTCAGGTTTGCTTTGAGACATGTCTACAGGTACTGAGTGAAAGCGCTTCTGCGTGTCGGCTTTGAGAAGCGGTTACTGGTATAGCCTGTTTTGAGCCTGTGCTGCAACATTCCAGGTAAAGATGACATTGCCAAGAAATACAATTGGTTCTGCCGGCACGGTGAGAATGCTTTGTAGTAATGACATTATGTTTATGGACAAAACAAGAATCTTTAATGGAAAATTGGATAAATGAAACACTGGGTATCTATGCATGCTGATTAGGCTTTTTAAAAAGCACATCATGTTCTGCGGTCACAACACAATGGTGGACATTCAGATGGTCATTGACAGAAAAAGGAAACCAGAGGAAATTAATAATAATGAAAGCAACTTTTCACAAAGAACATGTGCTATGCTTCTCCACTGAGTTGTGTATGTATGTGTGGGGCGGAGCTATCAAAATAGGGGCGAGACCCTTTTGGGGTAGGGGCGTGTTTTGATTTGAAATATCAACATTGGCTACCAGAAATCACTTACCCCACCTTTAACCTATAAATATGTTAAAATGAAAATAAAAAGAGGCAATGCTGTTTGATATAATATTTTGTTTCATTGTAATGTATGTATGTTCCCTGAACTACATTTCTGCGTCTATTAATATGTTTAAATGAAAACGAAAAGAGGCAGTGGTGTTTGATATCATATTCCGTCTTATTGTAAATACAGTGAGGAAAATTGCAGTAGCCAAAGCGAGCTGACTGACGTTATCAAGTACGCTGCTGTTCCATTTGCAGAATTACCGGACTTGCGTCGTTCCGTCCGCGGGAGTTCACACTCCCGAGTCGATCTTCGAAGTACGAATTACAGAGGATGCAAATCCGAATTTTTTTTGTACTTGGTATTGAGAAATGCGCGCAGACCGACGCCACCAGACTATTAGCCTAATCTTAACGGTACTTTAGACCGCGATGGAAACGGTAATTTCGGTGGAAAAGCGGCTAAACACGTACTGCACATTTTGTCTGAACACATCAATCTGAACTAGTAGCATAATTTTACCTCATTCTTACCTTGTATGTACTTATAAGCGAAGTCATGTTGTCCAGCAGTATGTTTGCTCTGGCCACCAGTTTATCTTCGGCCTTGTCCGTAGGACCTTCACTGGCACTTTTCACCAGAGCTTCTGTAATCTGTAGCTTGTCAGACACAGACTTCCCCAGTTCCTCAAGAACTCTCTTCATTTCCTCCTTCGCCACCTCGAACGTCTGCACCTCGTGGTGCTGGTGAGAGCCCTCCATCAAGCAGTCGGAGCAGAGGAACAGTCGCTCCTGCACACACAGGTACTCCGTGACCTTCAAGTGCACCGGGCACCTCTTCCCATCCCGTTCTGCGGGCAGCTCCACTAAGACGTGTAGTGAGCGGTGCCGTTCCTCGTGTTTTTTGAGATGGCTGGGGCACAGTGACATTTCACAGCGTGTGCAGAATTTCACCGCAGCTAGAGGGTTGTCCAGGCACTGGTCACATGGGACTGTAGGGCCTCCTCTCAGTCCGCCACCTGTCGTGGCCACCAGGAACCCATCCACGATACTGCTAAGCTTGAAGTTCTTGGGAAGCGTCTCCAGGCTGCCGTACTCTTCCCTGCATTCCGGGCACCGTTTTGGGGACTTGGGATCTTCTGCGCTGGCAGCATTTTGTATACAACCCAAGCAATAATTGTGTCCACACGGAAGGGCCACGGGATCACGGTACAGCTGCAAACAGATCGCACAGCTCAACTCCAAAGCTAGACGCTCCTCAGGTTTGCTTTGAGACATGTCTACAGGTACTGAGTGAAAGCGCTTCTGCGTGTCGGCTTTGAGAAGCGGTTACTGGTATAGCCTGTTTTGAGCCTGTGCTGCAACATTCCAGGTAAAGATGACATTGCCAAGAAATACAATTGGTTCTGCCGGCACGGTGAGAATGCTTTGTAGTAATGACATTATGTTTATGGACAAAACAAGAATCTTTAATGGAAAATTGGATAAATGAAACACTGGGTATCTATGCATGCTGATTAGGCTTTTTAAAAAGCACATCATGTTCTGCGGTCACAACACAATGGTGGACATTCAGATGGTCATTGACAGAAAAAGGAAACCAGAGGAAATTAATAATAATGAAAGCAACTTTTCACAAAGAACATGTGCTATGCTTCTCCATGTTTATAGTAAACACTAATTCCTCTGTGTGGGGGCTCTCTTTGTGCCACATCTGGAAACCTTGAGAGTGCTTCATCCTGTTGCGCTAACCAGAAAAGTTTGGTACTTTTGTCAAGGAAAGGATATGACTGTCTGAAAATGACGTGGTCTAACACAGTCACGCTATGGCCCCTTTGAGAGGGGATCGAAATCCAATACTTCTGATTGTGTTGAAATATTTAGAAACATATTTGGTGAAGAAATTAGATTCAGAGGAACATGATACTTTTATTCCAAAGCTTAATAATCTTAAAGTAAATACTTGTGTGTCTATCAGATTGTCTTGTAAAGATGAATAAATACATTTGCTCAGAACTTTATACCACAATCAGTCCTGTCAGAACAAGGCACAGAAACAACTCAAGTTGGCAAGTGTCGACTGTAAGTGCATGACAAGTCTAGAGCAAATCTCGAGACTCTTTTATCAAACTCTGAAAAGTGCTCAAGTGTCTCTTAAGGATGAGTCAGACAACTGAAGCTCCCACAGAAAAATCATCCCATCTGTAGGATATATATTAGAAAAAAACCTCTCACTGTTGTCTTCTTGTCTCATTCAAAAGAATGTGAAGATGTTGCGGGGAATCATTAAGCAAAGCCCTTTAGATATGAAAAAAGCAGCATTATCGTAGCAGTACACTCTAAAAAATGCTGGGTTAAAAAGGGACAA